GGCCTCCCTGTCGGCGTGGTTGGCTCTTCTGACCACATTGCCATCCTTACCAGGCTCAACATCAAACCTATGTGGGAGGAAGCATTTACTTACACAGTATGGCACTGGGACAGAAGTAACTGGCAAGGCGGTTGTGATGCCTTAGGTAAAACAGAATGGAATAGCATTCTGGATGGAGATATAGATGACCAAACCCTAGCTCTCACACGTCATCTAGTCACTCTCCAATCGGTCTTCATACCTCACGAAGACTATACGACCAGGCCAATGGATGAACCTTGGTTTGGTCCTCACTGCAAAGTAACTGCAGACAACAAAGCCAGGGCTTGGGTCCGCTACAAGCGTAGCCCCACGAGCTGAAACAAGCAATGCAACACTTCTGCCTGCTCAAGGATGAACAGGGCAAAGAAGTGGGCCATTGCACACTGGAAGGAGGACCTGCGGACCAAGCTGATTGGTCAGTCAGTGGAAGATAAATCCTGGTGGAGTTGCATTAAGCAACACCAGGGTTTTGCGCCTGACGATGGTATCCCTCCTCTCGACAAGCCAGATGGATCTGTGGCTGCATCAAGCCAGAAGGCAGAATTCGCCAGCTACGGGGGAAATGACTGTCCCTGAACCTGACGTGTCGCCCCCTAGATTGTCACCACAGACTCGGTCACGGCTTTATGATGTGTCAATCTCGGTGCAAGAAGTGAGAAAAGAACTGAAGAGCCTGGATGTGATGAAAGCTGTGGGGCCAGACAAAATCAGCCCTCATACTCTCGTCAACTGTGCCGACCAGCTGGCCACACGACTTGCTGCACTGTTCCAAGCATGTATGGCACGGAAGATATGGCCGAAACTCGGGAAGACTGCAAATGTTGTAATCCACAAAAAGATGAGCAAGACATCTCCCATGAATTATAGACCAATCTCCCTCTTGTCCATTGTGGCGAAGGTCTGTGAGAGAATTCTCGTTAAATGGCCAGCTTCCTTGATGAACACCATCTCATCAGCAACAGGTAGTTCGACTTCAGGTCACAGAGATCTGCATAGGACCTCCTCCTCCAACTTACGACTGCCTGTCAAGAGTCTCTCGATGCAGGCGGTGAAACTTTTGTTATTGCACTTGATTTCGCTGGTGCATCTGACAGAGTGTGGCACAAGGGCATCTTGTGCTGAGAAAGCACAAAGCTGAGAAGCCTTGTCATAACAGGACCCCTGTTGTTGCTACTCGAGGACTACCTGCATGAAAGAACAAAGCAGGTGGTTGTAAACGGCTAAACATCTAAATTTCCGATCGAGATAAGTGTCCCACAAGGCAGTGTTATCAGGCCTTTTCTGTGGAACGTCTATTTTAACGATATCCTGCCACTCATACCAAACGCCCAGGCCTATGCAGATGACTGTACCCTATCTTTCACCTGCAGCCACCTAAGCCTAAAGGAAACCGTGCATCACATCAACAACGTCATGGGACTCATCGTTGTGTGGAGCAAGAAATGGCAAGTCACCTTCGCCCCTGAGTAGACCCAAGCCATGCTAATAACGCGACGCCAGGTTCCCCTCGCACCCACTCCGGCCCTGGTGAAGAACGGCAAGACCCTTGCCTACGACAGCGTCATCAGCATCCTAGGGGTGCAGATCGACCGCCACCTCACCTTCAGAGACCACGTCAGGGGAATGGCAAAGAACGCGGCGAGGAAAATGGCATGCATCCATCGCATCCCGCCCCTCCTTGGTGCCAAAGGCTGATACACGCTCTACCACTCCCAGGTTCGTCCAATTATGGAGTACTATCCCTTGGTGTGGTCCTGCTGCCCTCCATCATACCTGCGAACGCTAAACAGGGTCCAAAATCGAGCCCAGAGACTAGTGCCACACAAAACGTTTGTTGGGGAGTGACAGTTATACCAAAGACTATATAAGAAAGATACGAAAGCACGTATTACACCAATTAAAAAAAGAAAAAGAAAAAAGTGAGGTCCAAAACTTCATACAGCGCCATCTATTGTTCTGATATCTTTCGATATGTTTCCCTTATAAACTAACGTTTATAAGGGGGGCTATAAATTTATAGATTTTTAAAAATATATATTATTATTATTATTATTATTATTATTTTTTTTTATTTTTTTTTTTTTGTTTATAAGGTTTAGTTTCAGTTGAAGTTTAGCAATGTCTTTTTTTAAATAAAAATATGTCTATTAAAGAATTACTTATATATATTAATAAAATTACATGGAATTATATAATTATTCTGTTTAATAACTTTTCTTTGAGATTTCTCTGCATACATTAAAATAAGGTTTTGCACTTTGTTTTTTTCAGAAAAAGACAATAAAACATTAATAATTATCTCATGTGTAAGCATATTTACATGACATCATAAAATTATTCCATTGTCACGGAGTATTTACTATACAATTTTATTGCAGAAAACATCTTTTGTGTTAATTCATTGAATATGAACTTTATTTTAATAAACTCTTCAATTTATTAGATAAACAAATCTATTGAATAAACACTACAATCATTCGACATTATCAAATTCTTCATGTTTTTCATTCATGTTTGTTCTGTCATTAAATCAAGGATATACAAAATACATTTTTGTAAAACATTTCTTTATTTAATTTCAAGTCATCATCAATGAAAGTATTAATGAAAGTAGGCCTACAGTTAAAACAACAGGATGCATAAAACAGAAAAACAAATAAGCAAAAAAAACAATCACTTTCCTACCGTTTTGAGTAAGTGACGTTTCATGATAGTAAACAAACAGACGATACATCGCATACACAGCGCCATCTATTGTTCAGATATTACACTAGCCGCCAACCGTTGGGACTCACAAGCTTTTGCCATGTTTTCCTATATTTCGTATTTAGTCTTTGGTTATACTCTCAACTCTTCACCATAGCTACGTCCCCCATCTCACGTCCCTGCGACTTGAACAACGAGTGGTTGCAACTTACGAAATACGGCATCTAGCAACCGCGTTCCAGAACTGCAGGTACCCTTCTCCAGGACCGAACTTCATCAGCGTTCCCGTCAACCCAAATATTCCAGGCTCTGGAACACGATGGTTCAGTAAACATCTCTGCACAACCTGTCCAGCCTGCAAGCTTTCAAGGCTGCTGTCCGCAGATGGAGATCCCACGATCCTGGTTAATATTTAGTGTCCAATTCATAACAAACACATTCCCCCAAGGTAAAGCTTCCAGATAGATTTTCATAAACACGAAAATCTTAAGCTTAGAGAAGGACAAGGGACCATAATAACCCCGTGTCTTTAGCCTGTATATATATATATATATATATATATATATATATATATATATATATATATATATATATATATATATATATATATGTGACAAAGTATAGAGAGAGAGAGAGAGAGAGAGAGAGAGAGAGAGAGAGAGAGAGAGAGAGAGAGAGAGAGAGAGGAGAGAGAGAGAGCAGATTGATAGAGAGAGAGAAAGAGAGAGAGAAAAGGAAAGGGAGGAAGAGGAAGAAGAAAGGGAGAGGAGAGAGTGAGAGAGAAGAGAGTGAGGGAGGGAGGGGAGAGAGAGAGAGGGAGGGAGGAGAGAGAGACAGAAAGACAGAGAGAGAGAGAGCGAGAGACAGACAGACAGAAAAGACAGATAAAGAGAGAGAGAGATAGGTAGAAAGAGATAGAGAGGTAGAAGAGAAGAAGAGAGAGAAGAGAGAGAGAGAGAGGTAGAAAGAAAGATAGATAGAGAGAGAGAGAAAGGGAAAGAGAAAGAGAGAGAGAGAGAGAGAGAGAGTGAGAGTGAGAGTGAGAGTGAGAGTGAGAGAGTGAGTGAGAGTGAGTGAGTGAGTGAGTGAGTGAGTGAGTGAGAGAGAGAGAGAGAAGAGAGAGAGAGAGAGAGAGAGAGAGAGAGAGAGAGAGAGGAGAGAGAGTGAGAGTGAGAGGAGAAGAGAGAGAGAGAAGAAGAGTAGAAAGAGAGAGAGAGAGAGAAGAAGAGAGAGAGAGAGAGAAAGAGAGAGAAGGAAGAGAGAGGAGAAAGAGAGAGAGAGAGGAGAAAGAGAGAGAGAGAGAGAGAGAGGTAGAAAGAGAGAGAGAGAGAGGAGAGAGAGGAGAGAGAGAGAGAGAGAGAGAGAGAGAGAAGAGAGAGAGAGAGAGAGAGAGAGAGAGGAAGTAGAGAGATAGGTAGAAAGAGAGAGAGGGGTAGAAAGAGAGAGATGGGTAGAAAGAGAGACGTAGAGAGAGAGAGATAGAAAGAAAGAGAGAAAGAGAGAGAGAGGATATAAATGGGAGCATATATTTACTATGCCGAGAGGGAGAGGGAGAGGGAGAAAAGGGAGAGAGAGAGAGAGAGAGAGAGAGAGAGTGAGAGAGAGTGAGAGAGAGAGTGAGGAGAGAGAGAGAGAGAGAGAGAGAGAGAGAGAGAGAGAGAGAGAGAGAGAGAGAGAGAGAAGAGAGAAGGGAGAGAGAAGAAAAGAGAGATGAAAGGAGAGAGGAAGAGAAAGAGAAGAGAGAAAGAGGAAGGGGAGAGAAAAGAGAGGAGGAGTGAGAGAGAAGAGAGGGGGAGAGGAAGAGAGAGCGAAGAGAAAGAGGAAGGAAGAGAGTGAGAGAGAAAGAGAGGAAGGGAGAGAGAAGAAAGAGAGATGAAAGCAGAGAGAAAGAGAAAGAGAAGAGAGAAAGAGGAAGGGAACGAGAAGAGAGAGAGAGGAGAGGAGAGAGAAGAGAGGGGGAGAAGAAGGGAGAGCGAAGAGAAAGAGGAAGGGAGAGAGTGAGAGTGAGTGAGAGAGTGAGAGAGAGAGAGAGATAAATAGATAGATAGAGAGAAAGAGATGGGGGAGAGCGAGAAGAAGGAGAGGAAAATGTAAAAGAAGGTGAAGGAAAGAGAGAGGGAGTGGGAGAAAGAGAAAGAGGAAGAGGAGAGAGGGAGGGAGGGAAGGAGAGGGAGGGAGGGAAGGAGAGTGAGAGAGAGAGAGAGAGAGAGAGAGAGAGAGAGGGGAGAAATTTTATCAAACTTTCTCTACAGTTGCGCAATCCAGTCGAGAACTTCACCTTCGCCACAGTGAAGGGTTCGGCCGTGGATATGTTCTTCCGGCGTAAGACCGTGTCATGGAAGCGCATAATTATGACACTGCTGACCAGGGCATCCAGGCTGTGAGAGACGGGTATGCCACAAAACTAGGAATGAGGATATTACATATTTTTTGCTAACCTTAATTACAAACCGAAAAGCATTGGTAGCTTAGTAGTAAAGTGGCTAGAGATACCCCATTCCATAACGAATATTCTGCAGATGTCGGTGGTACTGTCAATGTTTCTATAACATGATGAGTTTACTTTGTGCACTGCTTTCCCTTAAAACTTAGGGCTTACTAATAATATTCATTTTCATTTATATTTATTACTACCGAAAAGGCGGGTATTTCAAATATAATTTACATTTAATCATACAGCTGAATCATTATTGATACAAAGTATAAATTTTGCAGCAATCTGCATGCTTTCATATGGGAGAGCTCCCGCCTGGAATACGAAGCTTCACAAGACTGCGATTTGGTGACGGTCGGAGAGCTCTTCGGCCGCTCGGGTTTCGGCATTGGATTGCGGAAGGCCTCACCTTGGTCAGAGAAAATAACCATAGACATCCTAGAACTGCATGAGAGTAAGTACAATATAATTGCAAAGTCTGCGTATAGCACGAAGGTTGCTGAAAGGTAAGAAGATAAAAGTGGACAAAGAATAGAAGAAAGTAATATAATGACAATAAAAAGTTTTCGGCAGTCAAATGTGCTTATCGTTTTCTTCTCTTCATTAATGAATAAACGACGGATGCATTACAGACTAACAATTTCTGAATCCAAAATTTCCTTATTTGACTTGAATAATAAATCGGTTTGATCATGTTGATATGTGAATACCTTACACGTTATACAGGAGGTTTCATGGAGAAATTAGACAGGTCATGGATCTGGAATGACCATTCTCCATGTCAAGATATCTTTGGCGAGGACTTTTCCAAGCGTCTCGGACTGAAGAACCTCGAGGGGATCTTCCTCATGGTAGCCGGTGGCATCTTCACTGGGATCGCCCTCGTCTTCATCGAAATATTGTATGACCGCTGTAAGAGCAAGCACGGCCAGGCAACCCCACAAAATCATAGACGGGCGAACGATGACGACCAGTATGACGCAGAAAATGAAAAAGACTCAAAGGTAAATAGGGAAGTTCTGCGATTAGCTTCTTTTTTCAGAAGTATGGAGTATTGACGAAAATAATTATTTAAATGAGCTCCCAACACAACAACAAACACTTTCATTTCTTCCTCAGGGCCTGCCACTTTCTAGTAATATCTCTAATGGTCACAGGGAAAGCACGGCCTCTGGTAAGTATAATGAATCATGTCATGTTATGGTAATCCTTTATCCTATGGCGATACAATGACTTTACTATTGTGCTACTTTCAGATTCCAGATCACACAATGTAATGCGCAACGAATATGAAAGGCATATCCCTGACAGCATTAGTGATGAAAATGGTGAAATGACTCCGAGTCCTCACTTGTCGGGCAATCAGGAAGTCTTCCAGGACGTTGAAGAACGCCTCAAAAATAGTCCAAATATTCCAGAAGAGTGGAAGACACGCACGGCTCTCGAGTGGTTCCAGTTCTACTTGGACACACTGAAAATGGACGCAGCCGGTGATTCCAGCGAGGCCGTTGCTATATTAGAGGACTTTGTGGAATTTGTGAAAGAAAGTGGCATAATAGACCTCAAAGAGCTTTATTCTGATGAGATGAGTGGAAAGACTGCTGATCCAGAACTAAACCTCGGGGATGCCGAAAGCATGAGTTGCATTGAGGAGCGATGGAAATTCCCGGAGAAAGTTTCCTTTGATTCTTCCCCAAAATGCAAGACATTTTTTGAACATTTGCCGGATGTTGTGGACACACTGTAGGACGAGATTGGTTCTATGAAGCGCGTGAAAATGAATATCAAGGAACGAAGATGTGGTCCAAAGCCCACTATATATGGATGGCCGATTCATGTCGCACTGGTTAGTCGTAGTAATAAAAAATATCCATAGTTATTTCATCCATATATGCACTTTGCTTGAACTGTTCTTTTTCTATGAAATGAATTTTGTTGACTGTGTTCCGAGAGAAATAAAAAATGACTAAGCCCCTAGTTCCTCCAGACATTGTTCAGGGTCCTATATTTTCAGGGGCGAAGAAGAAGGAAAGGGAAAGAGAAAGCGAGAAAAAGGGAAAGGAAAAGGGAAAGAAAGAGGGACATGGAAAAGGGAAAGAGAGAGAGAAAAAGAAAAAGAGAAAAAAAAGAAAGAGGGAAAGTGAAAGAGAGAGAAAAGGAAAGGGAAAGAGAATGGAAAAGAGAAAGAGGGAAAGAAAAAGAAATGGGAAAGGAATAGGAAAAGGGAAAGGGAAAGAGAAAAGGAAAGGGAAAGGAAAAGGAGAAGGAAAAGAAAAAGAGAAAAGGAAAGGGAAAGGAAAATGGAAAGAGAAAAAGAAAAAAGAGAAAGAGGGAAAGAAAAGAAAAGGGAAAGGCCAAGGAAAAGGGGAAAGAAAAAGAGAAAGAGGGAAAGAGAAAGAGGGGGAAGGAAAGGAAAGAGAAAGAGGGTGATGGAAAGGAAAAGGGAAAGAGAAAGAGAGAGAAAAGGAAACAGAAAGAGGGAAATGGAAAAGAAAAGGGGAAAAGGAAAGAGAAAGAGAATAGGAAAGAGAAAGAGAAAGGAAAGGGAAAAGGAATGGAAACGTAAAGGAAAGGGGAGAGGGAGAAAGAGAAAGGGAAAGAAAAGGAGAAAGAGGGAAAGGGAAAGGAAAGAGAAAGGAAAAGGAAAGGGAAAGGAAAGAAAGGGGGAAAGAGAAAGAGAAGATGATCAAAATCAAATTCAAAAATACTTTATTCCATTTGTTACAATGGTTACTCTTATTACATAAAAAGTGATTTTACAGTACATAAACTAGTCTTGCCTATCCTTATTTTTTGAAACCTGATGTCACTGGTGATTTAAAAGATGTTCCTTTAATTTCTTTTTGAATGTTTCTTATAAGGTAGTTGGTTCCAGATCATACTGCCGCGGTTAGCTCAGTTGTAGGTATCAGCTTCTTGTAGAATTGTTACTCCAACTCTACGGACTGCTTCGCCAAGTTTGGAATGTAGTATCACATATCAAATGTTACATTGCCTTTCCACGCCCAAGCCGTACGCCGGCTTGGTAGATGAGTAGATGAATAACTGTGACTGATCTTTTCTTTTAAATGATATAGTATAGATCGTAATAATGTTATGATCTAGATTTCCACTGTAATACTATTATATAATGCCTTGACCATCCATCAAATGTACCACAGCTTGCCCACGCCTGTGCAGTTAGCCAGGGTGGTAAATAAAGGATTAAACTAAAAAAAAACCTTTATGACCAAATATTTCCTTTCATTTATGTAGCGTTGTGATCCGATTTGGGTCAAGGCAAATTGGACGAAGAGCAAACAAAACTTCGTCTTTCTGGTGTGAATTCTTTACTGCATAATATCAGCATAAGTGTGCAATGCTCTTAAACTTCATGTACGTGCATGTATATACCTACGTAGATGTATGTGGGTGAGTGTGAGTGTGAGAGAGAACGAGTGCGTGTCGGTGTGAGTGTGTGTGCGTGTATGTGTGACTGCGTGTGAATGTATGCGTGAGTGCATGTGCGTGTATGTGTGAGTGCGTGTGCGTGTATATGTGAGTGCGTGTACGTGTATATGAGTGCGTGTGCGGGTAGTTGTGAGTGCGTGTGCGTGTATGTGTATTCCGTGCCCCGATGTTTGTACGTGATCATTTATCATATAGAGTCTTGTATGAACATAGGTTGCGTTACCAAAGGTTGAAAGAGTTAATAGCCACTTTTGATATGAACCTTGTATCATTCTATGAATTAATATGTGCAAGTATCATAGTTGTATTGTACTTAGCCAACATCTAAGGGGTTTACAGAATCACAATGGAGAAATTGAGAATTATCGGCGTATTAAACAAGAAGGCAATTTTGGGGTATGGTTGACTATTGTTATTGACTATGGTTGATCATTTGTAAATATTGCTACCAAGATTGGGCCTATGTTCCTTGTGGAACACCAAAGATACTCTCTGTTTTGTTATTTTCTCACATATTTTGACTGATTGAGTTCTGTTACTAAGACAACTTCTGACCAAATACATATCAATTTTGTAATTTATTGGTTTACTAATAAGGATTTCGTCACTGACACTATCACAGGCCTTGAAGTTTATTTGGTTGTTGTAATCTGTAGATGATAATAATGACAATAAATAATGAATAAAGATAAAAAAGATAATTATTGCAATAATATTAATAATTATTGCAATAATGGCAATAATTGACGTTATTCTAATCATTTTCATACTAATACTAATAATAGAAATAATAATAATAATAATAATATTGTTACTACATTTTTATTGTTACTATTATTATCATTATTGCAGCTAAATTATCATTATTGTTATCATTATAAAAATAGTTATGATGATGAAATGACATTTATAATTAAGATCATAAATATTATAACTGCAATAATGATGATAATAATGATAATGATGAAAATTGCAATAATAATCATAATCATAATCATAATGAATATAATGATAAAAATTATCATAATAATAATTATTAAGTTCATTTATAATGAAAAAATGGCTAAAAGTAATAAAATCCCAAAAGTCGAAAAAACGTCAAAATCTAACGAATTACAGCCTTTTGCGAGCATTGTGAAAAAAACCTTTTCGCTTCTAAATGGTGTTTTTGATGATTTTGATGATTTTTAAGATAATTCCATTAATTATGATGATTTTGATGATAATTCCATTAATTATGATGATTTTGATGATAATTCCATTAATATTGATAATAATGATGATAATAATGGCAATAATACTGATAATAATGACAATAATAAGGATAATAAAAATAAAATGATAATTATAATGATAATTTGATAATTATTGCAATAATCGCAATAATTGACGTTATTCTAATAATTGTCATACTAATACTAATAATAGAAAATAATAATAATAATATGATTATTGATGCTACATTTGTTATTATTATTATTATTATTATTATTGTTATATTATTAATATTATTATTATTATTATTATTATTATTATTATTATTATTGATGCTAAAATTATCATTATTGTTATTATCATTATAAAAATAGTTATAATGATGAAAATGACATTTATAATTTAAGATAATAAATATTATAACTGCAATAATGATGATAATAATGATAATGATGACGAAAATTGCAACAAAAGCTATAATCATAATAATAATGAATAGAATGATAAAATTGATGATAATTATTAAGCCCATTTATAATGAAAAATGGCTAAAAGTAATAAAATCCCAAAAGTCGAAAAAACGTCAAAATCTAGCGAATTACAGACTTTTCATGATTGTCAAAAAAAAAAAAAAAAAATTGCTTCTAAATGGTGTTTTTAATTATTTTAGCAGTAATTCCATTAATTATGATGATTTTGACGATAACTCCATTAATATTGACAATAATTACCATAATAATGACCATAATGATAATAAAGATAAAATGATAATTATAATGACAATTTGATAATTATTATGTTAATAACAATAACCGGCGTTATTCTCATAATTTTCCTGCTAATGATAATAATAGAAATAATAATAATAATTTCATTGTTACTAGTTTTTTTTTTTTATTACTGTAAGTATTTTTATTATTACTGTTGCAAAAATTATCATTATTGTTATTATCATTATAGAAATAGTTATAATGATGAAAATGACATTTATAATTAGGATAATAATCATTATAACTGCAATAATGATGAAAATGACAATAAT